TACATTGGATACTTCCATAGTTGGGTTGGTTTCTGGGTTATGTCATCATGTGTGTTAATGGTCGATTGCTGTTTGCTGTTGTTGGTTCTCTGTCCAAAGGTCTCCCTTTAGCATCTCTTGTAAAGTTTGTCTGGTTTAACAAATTCCCTTAATTTCTGCTTATGTGGAAATGTCCTAATTTCACCATCATATTTGAGGGACATTTTACTGGGTGTATAATTCTTGGTTGGAAATTTTTCTCTTTCAGGGTTTTATATAAACCATCCCTCTTATTGGTTGTTCCTTGTAGGTAACTTTTTGTTTTTCTTATGCTACTTTCAGGATTCTTTCTTTGTCTTTGGGTTTGATGAGTTTGATGATGGTAAGTGTTGGTGATTTTCTTTTGGGGTCTATCCTGTTTGGGGTTCATTAAACCTCTTGAATTCATGTGTTTTCATCTTTCATCATACCAGGAAAATTCTCCTCCAGCAAATCTTTGACAATTTTTTTCTGTGGTTTTATTTGTCTCTTCCTGTTCTGGAATTCTGATTACACAGGTTATTCCTGTTGATGGTATCCCACATGAACCTTAGGCTTTCTTCATTTTGTTTTGATCTTTTTTCTGATTGATTCCTTTCCAAAGATGTACTGAGGTATTTGCGTTCAATATCACTAATTCTGTCTTCCATTGATTCAATTCTATTCCTTTGCCCAATCAATGTGTTATCTATTTCTGAAAATCTAGTATTAATCTTTGGATTTCTGTCTGTAGATTTTGTATCATTTCTAATTTTTCATTTATTTTGTCATTTTGTTCTTGTATTGTCTTTTGAAATTGTTCTAGGGTTTTCTCTGTGTTTTCCTCAATTTTGTCAGTGTTTTCCTTGATCCATCTCTCAATTCATTGAAGGTACCTAAATATAATTCGTTTGAATTCCTTATCAGGGAGTTCCAATGCTGTGTCTTCCTCAGGGATGTGTTTTGGGTATGTATCCTGGTCCCTTGTTTCTTCTGCTTTATCTTGCTTCTTTATGTGGACTGTGATGCTCTGTTGTCTCTGAGGCATTGTGACATTTTTGTGTTTACATTTAACTGGTGACAGTATGTTGGAGTGATTTGCCCAAGGTTTTCATTTTCTTTGTTTTGTTTGTATGTTATCTACATAAGCAGAGTACTGTGTTGTGCTCCTCTATTCACTAGTTGACAGCACTTATACACTCACCACCTATCTCCTTTCCCATTGTCAACTTCCCATATGTCCTTGCCATCCTTGGCAAATGGAGCCTATTCTTAGGTCCCTGGAATCCGAATGAGAATGTTGTCACTTTAAAATCCAAAATGGCCATTGCATGTAAACATTCAAAATTTCTGTGCCCTCCAGATGACCAAAAGTCCACAGCTCAGGTTGCCTCCCTCCTTGCTGTTTCCCTTCTTAGTCAAGGGCCCCCAGCGCAGTTGTCCCTGCAGCACTTGGCCATCATGGCTGATCTTTAGGCCAATCCTCAGATCCCAACACCACTTGGAAATATTTGTCTTCTAGTTGGGAAATACATTCTTCACCCAGTTCTATCTATCTCTATAATTTTAGTATGCATCTTCCAGATTTCTAGCTACTGTTTTTGTATGAGTTCTAATTGTGTATTTACCTTGTTACTTTGTTCTTGAATGATTTTCCTGAATTCTTCCAGGGTACTGTCTGTCTTCTCTCTTTTTTTTT